GGACAACCACTCTACGTATCTACTTACCATCAACTCTGTTTAATTTTTTATATCAAATGTTAAAACACAATCTTCATTTTGAACACTTTCGGGACTTATTCCAAAATTGTAACATTCGTACTTAGCCGCATAATACCTCTTTCTGTTTACTTTCAAATAGTCAACATAATAATTTATTAGAACAGAAAGTTAATTTTTAACTTCCCGCTAAGAAAATGGAAAATTTTCTAAAAATCGGGAAGATATTGGTTTCACCCCATTTTGCAAAAATCGAGTTCTCAACAGATCTCGACGTTTTGAGGGTCGAGGAAGCTTCCCCGAACATTTCTACGATGATGTCCCTATGTCTGTATGTATGTGTGGATGTATGTGTGTGTGTGTGGATGTATGTGACCCTCTTATAACTCTCAACCGATTTGAATAAACTAAAGGGCATTCCAAAGGGTTTCATTGCACTTGAATTTCGTGTGAGTTTGGACCCAATCGGACCAGTAGATTTTGAGAAATCTCAAAAATAAAAATTTTGAAAAATCGAATTTCTTCCAAACGACTTGACCGATCGACACCAAAAACTAATCAGTTCTAAACCTTGAAAAAACACATCGTTTGCCGCAAACCGGGTCAAAATCGGTTACTTGCGAGATATTGAAAACGAAAAATTTCGAAGAGCTCAAAAGCAGTGAAAAAGCGAAATTAGAACGTTAGCGTATGAAATTAGCGGGAAGTTGAGGGATGGTCCTTGAGGCCAACCGTTTTCCACATTTTTTTATTAAGTTTTCGGACATATTACTCAGATATTTTTTTTGCGAAATCGTTTCGAAATATTGTAGATTATTTAATATTTCATACCATTTGTTAAATTGTCGCTCTATATTTTCGGGTTAGTCCGATTATATTCTGTAATGCATTTCAAAAATGAATTCTAACAAAATATTTAATTAATTTATTGCCATCACGCCAAAAAGCGTTCACTTAAATTTACTTAAAGAGTCAATATATGCCATGGACAACTGCAATAAAATGGCGAAAAATGCTGACTTTATAAATTCAGAGAATTGATTTCAATCAGACATACGAATTTCTATACATATACAAGTATATACATATGTATGTATGTGCATTATAACTGCAAAAAAAACAATCTTTACTATTAACCCAGATCGCATAAATATTATATATAATATTGTAAAAAACGTATATTTCCTCCACTCCCTTCCGCCTACAGTATTCACCTAATTTGCTTTCACAAAGCAATTGCAATCTCGATTTCTGTTTATAAATCAAATACAATGCCTGCACTGCTGTTTATCTAAGAAATAATCCGATTTCAATTGCCATTACTAAAAGGAATAACAGCTACTCGACAACAATAAGTAATTTATGATATACAAAACGAATAAGTAATCGAAACAATGAGTAATGAAACGAATAGTTTTGAGAACAAAAAAAGAAATATTTCGTTGAATTGAATTTGGAAGAAGGCGACGCCCACACTCAGCACATTTACTACGAAGAAGTCAACTATTTGGTGAGGAGATGGCTGACAATTTGTATACAATACGAGTGTGGTTGAATGGGTATGTATGTGTGTGAGTGTGTGTAGTCGCTTGAAGCATCAATCAGTTTTTTATTTTACGATGATCATGTTAATTAATTTATTTGAGAATGACATAATGCGCGCATGTTTGTCTATGATTACAATTGAAGCATGACCGATACCACTGCTAATTTATTGGTATTAGTGTGTATGTGTGTGTATCTTCTATCCGAAAATAGCAAAACCATGAAATAGCAGTAGGTATCTTTCAGATGACAATTAAGCAAAGATTCCCTTGTCATTTAAGTGCGTGGCGCCATGAGCATGGAAGAGGACTTAGCTGGAGAGTCTTAATGGGAGTTAGAAACAGTTTTAGAAATTTAGATATGTTTCTAGACAGTGTCGTGACTGCAGAGTCTTAATGGGGTCTTAGAATCACTGCTCTCCAAATTTAAAAATGTTACTAGACAGTGCCGTGGGCAAAATATGCAACTTTTTATTTTATTGATTTTTTAATAGATATATCCCAGATGTAAAATTAAAATTATAATAATATTAAAAAAAGATTATGTAAAAAAAAAGTTCAATAAACAAATAAAAAATAACTAAAGTATATTAATGTATTCATATATTATATTATATATCTATGTATGGCGTACTTTTACAAAGGCATAGAGACTAATTAAAGTATGTTTTATGTTTTCTATAAATTTTCATATGCTCACGGCTTTTAGTTCAAAGAATTTTTCTATTTCAATTGGCAAAGCCATTTGTAAGATAATGAGCATTACAAAAAATAATAATAATGACAAAGCAACAATTCAAACAAATAAATGAAAACACTATACAATATAGTTATTTATGTTTGTATGTCTGTATAACTGGAAGCATTGAATGCATGTGGGTGTAAATTTGTGATTATTTCACCACAGCATAAAATATGAGAACAATTGCAGCATAAATACCGAGAATGACATGAATACATAACATTCCAACTTATCGAATAGCAAAACAATAAAAATTATGAAATATGGTTTCGAGTAGTACGGCGAAATGGAAAAGCAGATGCATACACTTATGTATGATTGACATACATACTTGTTTTTATGCATAATATCAAAAAGTAAAAAAAATATAAAAGAATTATTTGTCGCATTAAATGGGTTCCAGAATTTTTTTATATATTTTGTTTTATTAAGAAAAATTTCCAAAATGCATTCTTTCGAAATTTTGAGAAATTGAAAATCGAAAGAAACGCAACTATTCCGAAAAGAACAATATTTTGAACCAATAACAGATCAGTTGAATTTTGAGTTCACAATACTACTGATAGAAAAATATTCGCAATTAATTTTAATCCGAAAGCGTTAGTAATTCATAATCATCAATCTACATCAATTCTACGCGTTGTCAAAGTGAGTCGGAAAAAGTCCATGTTTTCGACAGGTCCTTTGGATTTTCCCAATATGCGAACTTGCTCTTTATTAAATCGCATTGTTGTGTCAAGCCATGTTAAGCTTACACCCACCTTTTTAGTAGCTTCCACCAATCACGATTAAAATACGCCAGTTCATAAGTAAATCATATCTCAACGTATTTCAACGGCTTTTAAGACCTTTAATGACTACTTTATAGACGATGCAAGACCAAATTTGTTTATGATATTGTTGCCTTTATAAATCTCAGTATTTGTGTGTATGTATGTGTATACAGCAACCATGTGTTGTAATTTATGTAGACAAAATGCTAATATTATGATAATTCGGTCGTAGCATAAATATACGTCGGAGCGAGCGCTAACACGCCAATTCATCAAAACAAATGCCAGCAAAAACAAAAAAAATATATATATAATACACATACATATGTATATGCATATAATGTGCGCGAGTTTGTACATTTTATTTATTCAAAACACAGCGTTGACAAAACGTTGCATTTCTCTTCATAAATCCTTTTTAGTTTTAAAATAAAATGCTAATGATTACTTTTTAGCGTTGTTGTTATTGTTGTGAATTGTTGTAAAATATATATGTATATATTTTTTGCAAATGTTTTATGCGCCAAAAAACGTCAACAACACGAAATTAGCATACTTATTTGAATTTGTATGGCGTGTGTGAACATTGAAAATAATTTCAGTATGTCTTTTGTTTTTGTATCTGCTATTTTGTGCGAATTCAGCATTGTGAGCTTTGAAGCGGGCGTAACGGCGTGCTGCTACAGTGCTCGCGAATATACCGAAAAGGAAGTCATAATTTTGCGTTTCGTTGGCATTGACTGAATTGATTTATTACAAAAAATTTCGCGCTGAAAATTTGTATGAAATGCCGAAAAACAATAAAGTTGAAAGACGTATTATACTTTCCTCTTTCCGCACTTTCTATTCAGTTATTTTGTGTGTTTGTATGTTAATTCAGACATTTAGTGTTTTAATAAGAATTTTTGGCAGCACGCATAGTAGAGCTGCTGTGAATTTTAATTTTCGATGTATTTGAAAAAAATTTCTTATTTATGAAAAAATTGAATTGTTGAAAATATAAAACAAAATAGTAAATTTTCGAAAATATTTATTTAAATAATTTTCAAAAAGAAAAAGAAATTTTAAAACAAATTAGAAAAAAAAGTTTTTAAAAATATTAAAATTTCAAAAAATTATTTCTTAAAAATCGACAGAAAGTTCTTTGAAATTTTATATTTCGAAAACTTTTTAAATTTCGAAAACTAAATTTGATATTTTAATATAATATATATTTTATAGAAAAAAATTATTTTGAGAAAAGAGAATAAATTCGAAAAAAACAGTTTTTGAAAAATCATAAAATTTTGTTAACAAAAATTTATTTTTAAAAACGGACAATCGAAGAAATTTCCTTGATATTTTTAAATTCCGAAATATTTTTGAAATTTCCAAAATTATTTTCGATATTTGAATGTATAATAATATTTATCTTTACAAAAATAAATTACTTTGAGAAAATTAATGTTTAGAAAAATCGAAAGTTATTAGAAATAAATTTCGTAAAGAACATTCTTCGAATAATTTCATATTTTAAAAGTATTCAATATACGAAAGCGCGTCTGACAATATAGAGTTTCGAAAAAATTTAAGTTTTGCAAAATATTGTTTTCTCAAGAACTATTAAGCATATATATTGTGCAACATGTCAATATTTTATATTTTAATATTATAAACATTGTTTCAAAAAAAAAAAATTATTTCAAAAGACATAATAATTTTTCTTAAATTCGAATAAGATAAAATATGCTTTTGTAAAAAAATAATTATTTTTTATATATTGTAAATTTCTTTTATATTTCATTAGAATATTATTTAAAAATTTATTTTTTTTATCGAAATTTTGAAAACTATTGTTTTGTTCGATATTACAACAGTCAAATCAAAGTTAAAGAAACCAATTTCGAAAGTTTGTTTTAAATTAAAATTTAAGATTGCACTCACTTTGAAATAGATTCGCCGTAGATTCGAGTATGCCGCGAAGACTATTGGTATGATGATGCAACAGACGTTCGAATTCGCCGGTGGACTTCTTTCTCAGCTCCAATTCGGTTGCATTCGTACAGCAGTGGCCGCCACAAATGGCACCTAAAAGAGTAGACATAGATGGTAAATATTTAGAGTGGAATTATTTATATTTATAAATGAGTAATATATATTTGCAAGCGAATAGCATCGATTTTAGTACAAACCGACAGGTTCTTTTAATTTGTATGAGTTTGTTCTCTATTCAACTGCTGACTTTTCATAGCTGATCGCCTCAGGAGCAATATCATTTGCAATACTAAACAATATTAATTGAAATTATATATTAGTTTAAGTATTACTAGTTGGACTTCACAAGATAAGTCTTATTAATTTTCCTTCCACTTTTCAGTATATATTCAATGCTGGAGAGTTCATTAGAAATTCAAATATATTTCGTTTGAAATAAAACCTGTTTCAGGTTAAAAATTTATCGAGTGTGTTTAGTATAGGGGTTTGATTATTTTTAGTAATATTTTGTTGGTTTATGTACTCAAATTGACAGATAAGAAATTTCTAGTCCAGCAGTTAACAGGATATAAATTTATGCCGCCAGAAAACTTGTTTCTACGTAGCTAGAATGAATCTGGATTTATATGGTCAAGAACTGTTACGTTAGCACCAACCTTCAAAACTTTTTTCTGGGGAAAGTACCTGGAATTCTATGAATATTCCAGTTTATTTGATTTATGCTAGTTACCTATTTGATTCAAAACCCTCAAAGTTTCGCGAATCATTTGATGGAATGAATTTGACTCCACATGATACAAAAGCGAGTTACTTTTCACTTGAAGCTATTATAAAATCAACCTATTACTTGATAAATAGATAGAACTACTACGATTTGCAATACTTTCTTCGACTGTGAACTCAAAGCAAACATTATAGGCATTAATTCTTAAGTACAAAAACTTTATATTAACTTTTTTGTAAGCTACTTATGAATTGGGCTTTATTATAATGTATCCATCGTCTCATCGTTTTTGAGTGAAGGCGTTTTCTTATTACTCTTTCAATTAAGGATTCTAGAAATTCAACCCACTTTTGAGAAATCCAAATATTTTGAGAGATTTTAGAGATACTCTTGCAGGTTACGTGTAATTTTCTATTTTTATATCGGTAAGAGATCGGGCCTTTCACCATACTTGCATTTCTTGAAACTAGTTTCGAAACGGTTTTTCAATTTAGGCCTTTATCTCAGTGAGCGTTATAGTGGAACACCACAACTATAGGGAAATTGAAAGCTTACTGAAGCTTTTGAGAACAAGCTATAGCTATGAAGAATAGACTTTGAAACTATACATATAGAGAATAACAGTTTAAGCAATCTGTGGACCCAGTATAAGAACTCAGATACATTACTTCAAGCAATTAAAAAATATAGTCAAGCTTTTTTTATGTGCTCTACAAGGCTTTTAACACCACTCAATTTTACGTGACAAATGGTGAATGGCAGAAAAATTGAGTGATTTCAACCAAAAAAGTAGAATATCTGACAAAGTAAATTGTTTCGTGCCTCATCGGTGTGCAGACTGTTACCAGCTGTGTAGCAGAAAAAAAAACTACGACTAACATCAGCAGCACACTAAACTATTACACGAACAAAGCAACAACTATATATACGAGTATGCAGCCTTCATCACTTTTCACACTCGGCTGATGAATTTCACCACGCATTATGGACTATAGGAGCAAAGCGGAAGCGGGTGGAGGTATAATAATTTCAGTGCAAATTGAAAATTCAGTAAATATGGATACACGCACACATTTAAATAAAAAAGAGAATGTTGCACGCCAAAAACTCGGTGGAAGAAGAAGAGAAGTGTGAAATTGGAAAAGTGTCAGCTGCTGGCGCCAATCGGTGTCAAGGTGCGTTTATGCCACCGCACCGGGAATGTGTATGGGCGACGGTGTTTTCCAACTATGAGACACGTAGTTGCCACAAAAATGTAGCTGTGTTAACGTTTGTGGCATGGCACATGCGCCGCCATTTTGCCTGCACTGCTTTTGCATAACTTCGTGTTTTTGCATTGTTCTCTGTTTTTTGGAGTATTTCCAAATGTCACTGCAATATGTAGCAATACGTAACCGGTTAA